AGCATTATTGTTCTTGGATATTAAGTTTCAAAGATCTAACAATGAACTGCAAAACTTCTTTTATAGTTAAAGACAGGAAATGTTTATTTTATAGTTATTAACAGAGCAGTCTTTGTTACCTCAACTTTTGGTTTGATTAGGTACATAAAAATAACTGAAAACAAAATATTTTCGCTGCCACCCACGCAGACTGTTGATTTACAGTTCAATGAAAGCACAACTTTGAAAATATCTACTATATTTTCTTTGTAATAATAATAATAATAACAATACTAATAAAGAAACACACTAAATCACACTGAAACCCAACATAAATTAGAAGGCTAGCTTATCCAGATACTAAGGCAGGAAAAGTGATGAGCATGGTTTATATCATTATCTTAAATGTTTTTAAAAAATGCTTATCTAATGTAAAGATCAGGAATAGTATTGCATGCCAGGACTCAATAATATATTTTTATCCCTACATAATCCTGAAAAAAAAAAATCTATACCTGACTCTGTGTGTGTTTGTGAGTGTGTGGTGTAAAAAGGATATTAAGCTAGTAGATCCAAATTTAAAACTTAATTCATTACTTGACTGCCTTGAGAGAAAGTTGTTTAACATCTCCAAATCTCAGTTGCCTCATCTATGAATTGAGCATGGTAATCCTTGCATCTCACTGGGTTCATGTTAAGATTTAAAACATACAATAAATATAAGGTGTATAGTATATCACTTGGCATATTAAGAAGCACTTTAATTTTATCAGTGCCATGTGCTTTCACACCCTATTACTCAATCTAACATCTTGCAAATAGTCAAAGGGAAGATCAGGCAAAAGAGAATGATCGATAAACCAAAATTCAGCTCCAAACCTTAAAAAGCATTCAAAGGGCACATGCACATGCAGAGCATTTGTATACACAAACATCAGCAGGCAAACCCTGATACTCTACTAGCAATATAAACTACAGAAACATAGTAGCGAAACCAACGTCATTCCAATAAAGGATTTGCAGTGCTACAGAGAATTAGCAAATCAAAACTTGATTTTTAAGAATAGCAAATAAAGACACAGAAACTCCTTAACTTGGGCCTCAGTTTTTCTTGGCTATACAAGAAAAGGCACTGGGCAGTATATTTCCTAGGGGTTTCTATCCCCCAAATTCCATGATCCTCACATAATGGGTTTAATACCACTTTGTTTATTTTTAACCTATTAAATTACTCTGCTCTTTACAAATATCCACACCAACATGATGAATTGTGCTATAATAGTAAGGCTGTTTAAACACATACACGCTCACACACACACACAGTATTAAAAATCTCTACTCAACAAATACCTGTAAGGGGAGATAATTTTTTTCATGCTATAAACATGAGTTCAAACTGGTATGGATGAAAATTAATTCAGCATGCTGACCATTTGAATTTCCTCTGTGATAAAGTATTACCCCTTGAATTATTCTCAATGAATTTACTAAATTGATGTGTCGTTTTGGTGTCATGTAGATAAAGGTTAACTAACTTGTATGAACATCAAAAAATGTTTTTCTTCTTCCAAAAATGACCACAACAGGAATGTGGTTTGTTTTACTACTATTCTTAATTGTTCAAAGACCCATTCATTTGGCAATCTTTAACAAATGCTCAACACCTAAGTAAAACTAAACAGTAACAGAGAAAAAAGTTCAACTTTTAAACTAAGGGAGGAAGATGTAGTATCCATCACAGACTGACTGTAAATACATGTAACAGATGTGGCCAGTGCTGCTCTTGAATATAGATAATTTCAGTGGCCCAACTGAAAAATTACTTTTTAATAAGATGCTAAAGCTAGTATGTTTCTCTTTTGCTTATAAAAACTCGAAGGTAACCAAGTAAATAGTATTTTTGTAATATTAGAGAATTAAACCCCTGTTCATCAATAAATTACAGACTCTAAGTACATTTTTTTTCTTTTGGTAACTTTGCCATCCTATATTTTAATGAGAATAATTTTTCAATTATCCAGGCATGTGGATGCTTTTAGTTTGTTTTAAGATCAATGATATAACGGATATTAAATCCCTTTGTATAAGTTACCATATGGATTACAACTATTTCTTAAAAATAATTCCAGAGCCCACCAATCTCCCGTTAAGGTCATCTCAGCTCTGAACTATCATGGCTGAATTGTTTTAGTGCTCTCTGCTGAACACCTGCAAACATCAAACAAAAACTGCTGGTCCTTTCCTGGGCTGACAAAAGCCTTTCATGTGAAAAATGCTCCCTGGGAATGTCAGGCTGTAGCTCAGGTTACATTCCATTCTCCCTAGCAGCCTTCCCATTTCTTAAGGTGGTAGGAAAAACCATGTTTGTGAAATGAAAGATTAAAGGGAATATGGCCACACTTTATTTAAATCTCACATTGCAAATCACAATGGAGCATCCTATATTAATGGAATCAAAAGCTATTGGGAACTTTAAACATGAAACATTATCATGCCTCACTGAAAAAATATAGCTGATTTTCTAAATAGGAACAGTTTACTTATAGTCTAGATCTTTTATTCCTTGACCCAAGTTTCAAAAGCTACCCATGAAAGTGACATCTGAGTCCACTCAGGACAACGGATATTAACCTGAAGTAAATTTAGAACATTATTTTTCTTTTCAAAGTTAGCTAGTTCATTCTTCCAGTTAAAGGGCAAAATGCACTTTTCCTGATTTTTTTATTTGTTATGCTTTAAAAGAAGTTTATCTTTGTGGATAAATTCTTTATCTTATCTAGTGGAAATTGTAAGCCATTTTCTTCACTAATAGCCCTGTGTTCAAATATGTATCAAATGAATGAGAAAAACCAACACTCTAATCTGTACCCTATATATTTTAATCACCATCACACTGCATTGATGAATACCTTGAATTTTCAAACCAGCAGCCTGAACAAAATAGACACTACACTTTTTACCTTCACAAGTAAACACTGGGCCTGACAATTACACCTGTGGTAAAATGTAAGTAACTTAAAGTTCGACACTTTAAAAATAATTATAATAGCTTCATTAGAAATACCATAAATGTCTCAGTAAGGATGAAATCTCTGTGTAAGTTTACATATGCATGTATATGTATGTATGTGTGTGTGTACAAATATATACACACACTGTCTTAAGAACTATGTAAGTTTCAATATATGATCATTTACCAAAATATATTAATAGATATTCATACTTATTCAGCCTATACTCCCTCTGAACACTTACATATTATAGGCAGGACTTTATTTAAATGTGAACATAGAAAAGTGACCAGATGCACAGTTGTCTTTTTAAATGTAACACAATTTCATGCTTTTAAATCACCTCACTTTATTCGGCCATACCTAAACTTATATATTTAAGTTACTCCAAATGCATCAGTTTTTACAAAATACAAGAGTATTTTGCACTGATTTTGAAAGCAGTCTGTCTCTGTACCTTTCTGACATAATCTACTTCAAGATTTAAACTATACATTTCTTAAGTAAAATCATGAAAAAATTACGGTCAGATAAAGTTAGTTACTGTTTCGATACTGTCTAACATGAAAAATTAATTTTCCTACAAGAGACACTTGTAGTCATCTTTACTTTAAAGTTGTACAAATAATACAATACAGAAATTTTGAAAATATAATAATACAAAAATATTTAAGTCACTAAATAGAAAATATAATAAAGTCCAGGACAGTAAAACATAAACATATGATCAATAATACTTTAATCAAAGTGGACCCTCCAAAATAAAATATAAAATATAACTAAAGAGCCATCTCATATTTTATAAATCAAATTATAGAGACAAAAATTCTCTTAGACTAATGGTGACCAGAAGTAACTTATTTGGAAATGACCAATTTTTAAATGACCAATTAATTTTATAAAAAACATATCAATTACACAAATCAAAGGTGAACAGATTTCTTTCACTGCTATAAAAATTAAGAGATGTGAGATTATATTCAATAACTAACAGACAATTCCACTGGCATCTCATAGCTAAAAAATGTCAACATTTAAGTCTGACTTAAGAATAGTACTCTGTCTAATGTACTGTTATGTACCATAGGCAGAACTAAAATATTGCAGCTGTTTAACCAGCATAAATGGATTTAAGCCTTGAACCTAAAGCATAACAGGCAGCAATGTATGCCTCTTTCTGATATGAAATTCATTGGACAAAACAACAAATACATTTTAAATAAATATGTTTCCAGTTTTCACTTTTAATAAGAGATCTTCAGAGAGCCCCCTATTAAAACGCTTCCTTAGATGCCTGACAATCACTGCGCACCCAGTTTCCTTTGTGGATAGTGCTAACGTCTTTTTTAAGCATCACCCAAAGACCTTTCATTTATAAAATGTGAAAGTTCTTCCTAATTTGCAACTTAAAATATAGCAAAAATTCATTGCACAAATAAACACATAGGGAAAAGAAACAGCTAAAGCATCAGAAAGGATATTTTAAATACAAATGAATTCAAATTTAGCTCTCAGATTAGCAAGAGGCTATTTACAGCTATGGTTTACTACACAGCATTCATCTGAAAAATTAAGTGCTAATTTCCTTAAAAGGGTTAATTATACATAGTACCTAATAAAATTGATATTGCTTACAAGGGATTTTCTCTTTTTATGAAAGTTAGATTTCCCCCCTCTATTTTCAAATAGAGAACATTAATTTATTCCTCCATGTTAACATTGGCCTTATCTTCACATGTTTGATTACAACTATATTAGAAAATTGCTTTTAAATTAAGTGATGGAATTCTAAGAGTTTCCATGATTTAAAAAAAAAAGACCTAATTTTAATTTTGCAAAAGATGACATTTTGTGTAAGTTATACCACTGATAGATAATGAAATAACCATATCATTACAGACTAAAATTTCAATGACTTTTTCAGAACACTTCAACAGAGCCAAAAATATACAATGAGTGAATAAACAGCTAAGAACATTTCACTACACACTAAGAAAAGAATTTACATACTTGAGCCAGTAAAATGTCCACTTGCCAAAGAAGTTGGTCCATTTTTCCCACTGCTCACAGGAGGTGAAAACATCTAAAAGAAACAAAGAAATATTACTGTTGAAAAGAAGACATTTGTGCCTTCAGAGTTTGTCAATGATCTCTCATACTCTCACCACATAACTTAGACTTTTTGCTAAGGGTTCGTTATAGTAAAATACATCACCATCCAACTTCAAACTAAAACAGGCACAACACTACCAATCACCCCCCACCCCATCACCACTCCTTTCTTTTTCCTCAGGTTCATTAGATGGCCAGTATTAGGCAGTGCTACTACGTTTTAAACAAACACAGTCCCCATGTTATCAAGATTCAGTCTGAAGGGCAGCAGCCTCTATAGAAAACACTAGTTTTACAAAGGAGAAGAAAAAAAGTTGTTTGCTTTATATTGAAAACCTTGGCCATAAACGTGGCAATGTCCATTTCCATCCCGTATAGGATTTGCCTGTTATATGTGAACCCAAATAAAAATAAAAGTGCCACCTGCACTAAATTCTCATTTCATCTCTAACATGAGAACAATTTGAAGCAAGACACACACACTCTCTCTCTCTCTCTCTCTCTCACTCTGACTCTCACTCTCTTTCACTCCCTCTCTCTCCAGCATTTATTTCGACCCTAATTGGTTTCCCTCTTCTTCCACGTATCTAGTGGATAATGCGCACCTTCCCTGGGTCAGAGCCTGCAAAAAGCAAAGGAACGAATGGAGAAAGTGCAGCAAGCAGAAAGGGGGCTACAAAGCTGCCTGGAGCTCTGTTTCCTGGCAAAACTTCCGAAAGCCATTTCTCCAAAAGAAGGTCTAGAAAGAGCAGCAGCAGCAGCACCAGCACCAGCAGCAGCGGCAGCAGTAGCAGCAGCGGCAGCAGCGACATGAAAGAGCCCCACTTAGAAGGCGGTTTGGATTTTATTTATGTTTTGTGGATTCTTTTTATTTTGCTTTACAAATGCATCTCATACCAAACTCATCTGACATTAAAAATGAATTAATTCCCCTGACATGTTCGAGACTTGGTTTGAGGAAGGGAAGCAAAGGGATGGAGAAGGACCAAATACAGCTGTAAAACTCCACAAGTGTGTAAGTTCTGCTTTGTACTGACTGATCTCATAACTATGAAATTTACTAAACCAGTCTAAAGGGCTCTAAAGAATGTATGCCCAACATATACATATGAGTATTCAGAATCCCAAGAAAGGAGGTAGCTAGGTAACTACAGGTCCTACTAATCCAAAGCATCGTCAGTTTAAAACTTTAAGAGACAACTGGGTCTCCTATTTTGTCTTTTCCATTTTCAGAAAAAAAAATAAAATAAAATAACATGAGTTGTGCGCAAAGTATTAGTACTCTCACTGTTCAGATAAGGCCAAGTTTTAGGTGTGATTTACCATTTTAGGGGATGTCTGTTTTTCCTTTCCATTGGGGTGAGATTCCATTATTTGGGGGGAGTTGGTGGGTAGAGAATTCAAGGCAAGTTATTAGACTTTCAAAAAAAAAAGCTTGAATCTTCCATCACACCCCCCAAAAAAATTGTAGTTAAAAACTTATCAAAAAGACCTTCATTTACCAAGGATTCAGCCAATTAAAAATGATTTCTGTCTTTTATTGGTTTCTAGCTAAGTGTTTGGGTTTTTTGTTTTGTTTTGTTTTTTCCACAGCTGTTGTTAGTTTCCACCGTTCTTTCTTACCGCACTGAAATCCAGTAAATCACTCAGCTCTTTGTCCGTCCCTAAGGCAGCCATTCGCTGTTGGTGATGCATTTTAGCAAAATCACACAAACCTAGAAACATGGAAATAACCGCAATCAGAAAATCCAGTCCCAATCCTTGGAGAAAACACAATCGGATTTTTGGAGACTGGGGGGGTTGGGGGTGGGGATGTGGGGGTGGGTGGG